ATATATATATAATTATATGGATCCATATAAAATCTAGGAACCACAAATGAGACAAAAAATACAACATTTTTATTTCTGAGTCTGGCTTAATTTGCTTAATATGATTGTGTCCAATTGAATCTATTTACCTATAAATGACACACCTTTGTTCTTCATGAGTGAAAAAATGTCATTGTGTACATGTACCACATTTTTCTTTATCCATTTCTCTGTTGATGGACACCTTAATATAGCTGTTGTGAATACTGCTTTAGAAAACACTGATATGCACCTATCTCTGTGATATGTTGACTTGGAGTCCTTCGGGTGAATACCCAGGAGTGCTCTGGGTTGATCATATGGTAGATCTATTTTTAGTTTTTGGAGAATCTGCCATACTGATTTCCACAGTGTCTGGACTAGTTTACATTCCCATTCAACAGTGTAGAAGGGTGTCCTCACCAAAATTTGTTATTTATTTTCTTTCTAAATTTTTATTTATTATGTTATGTGTATTGAGTATATTACCTGCATGTATGTAAGTGCACCCATGTTGTGCAATGTCCATGGAGGTCAGAAGAGGGCATTAGATCCCCTGGAACTGGAGTTATGGACGGGTGTTAGTCACCATGTGGATGCTGGGAACCAAGCCCAGGCCCTCTGCTAGAACAGCCAGTGCTCATAATTGCTGAGCCATCTCTCCAGCCCGTTATTTGTTTTCTTGAAGACAACTATTCTGATAAGGGTGAAATGAAAGTTCAGTGTAGTTTCTATTTGCAGTTCTCTGATGAATACTAAGATTGAATATTTTCTCATATGTTTCTTGTTCATTTGCCTATTTATTGATTGATTTGATATGTGTTTTTAGTTCTTTGTATATTCTAGGTATTAATCCACAGTCAGATATATAGCTAACAGAGATTGTTCTCTTAGTCCATAATTCACTTAATTAACTATCATTTTCTATGACAAGATTTTAATTCCACAAGGCCTCGATTGTTAGCATTATTTCCTAAGTGACTGGAGTCCTATTGAGAAATTCTTTCCTGTGACTATATCTTGAAGTGTTTTCCCTACTGTTTCCTCTAAGAGTTTCAAAGTTTCAGGTTTTACCCTAAGGTCATTGATCCATTTGAAGTTCTTTTTTGTAGAGAGTGAGAGATGGGGATCCAGTTTCAATCTTGTACATATGGCTGTAGCTGCATGGGTTTATAATTAGATCCAACTTCTGTTCCATTGTTCTACGTGTCTGTGTTGTGCCAATACCACACTGTTTTTGTTACTACAGCTCTATAGTATAACTTAAATCAGGCATAATGATATCTTCAGGATGCTTCATTTTGCTCTGGTTGCTTTGGCCATCTGGGATCTCTTCATATGAATTTTAAGATTGTGTTTTCTATTTCTGTTGAGAATGGAATTGAGATTTTAATTGAAAGCACATTGAATCTGTAGATTGCTTTTGGTAGTATTGCCATTTCCACAATATTAATTCTCCTAATCCATTTGCATGGTAGACCTTTCTATCTTCTAAGTCTTCTTCAGTTTCAAAAAGATGAATCTGTTCTATACAGAATCAAATATTAAATGTTAGGAGTCAATTTTTTCATCAGTAATTGTTTTTCTCAGCATCTTTAGTTTTTCTATCTGTGACAGTGTTTTACTTTGAAAATAAAATGTCCCTAAACCACCGATAACTAAAATATTTACTCCTTTGTTTACTACCAAATTGAAGAAAATTAAATGTAAATGTAATTTACCTTTACCTTTTAGTATGTTTAAAAATATGGTACAGTTCCAAGCCAGACAGGGCTATGTAGTGAGACTCTGTCTCAAAAGAAATATGATGGGACAGAAGTGGGGTGAGAATGATACATTTGTATTTATTTTGAGCATGTATGAAATAACTAAGGACAATCAGTAGTAGAATATTTGGGGGAAGGGTGACACACAGTGTTACTAAAAGTAACCAAAGGACCAGAAATCAAACAGGCAAGATAGCTTGAAGCTCCCCATAGCTTCAAGATAGGTGCCTGCTCTAGTATGCTTCTGTGACAAAACACTCTGACCAAAACTAACTTGGGGAGGAAAGGGTTTCTTTGGCTTACAGCACAGTCCATCATCAAGGGAACCTGGAGCACAGGCCATGGAGGTACGCTGCCTACTGGCTTGTTCCCCTGGCTCATACTCCGCCTGCTTTCTTATACAGTACAGGACCACCTGCATAAGGGTGGCACAGTCCACAGTGTGCTGGGTCCTCCTACATCACTCAACAGTCAAGAAAATGCCCCACAGACAGGGCCAAAGGCCAGTCCCATGGAGGCCATTAACCCAATTGAGGCTCCCTCAACCCAGGTGTGTCAAGTTGACACTAAAGCTATCCAGCGCAGTGTCTTTCTTTTCTTTTCAAACAGAAATTTCTGTAAATTAAGATGAGTTGAATTCCTCGCAGGGAGAAGTCAACAACAACAAAATCTGCCTTTTTATTTTCAGTTTTTCTTTGTATTGGTGCATAGCTATTGTACATAGTGTTGAATTTCAAAAGAATAATTTATTTCAAATTTATTGAGTATTTTGACACTATTCACCCCCATAAAATCTTGTTTTGTTTTGGTATTTTTGAGACAGGGTCTCCCTGTAGTCCCCAGCTGTCCTGGAACTCACTATGTAGACCAGGCTGGCCTTGAACTTACAGAGGTCCACCTGCCTCTGCCTTCCAAGTGCTGGGACTAAAGGAGTGTGCCACCACACCTGGTAATAGTCCTAAGTATCTCTACTAGCGTCCATATTGTAACTCTAACTCCCTAACTCTACTGTACTCTGTCTTCCAGCTTCCATTTTCTCATTCGTTCACTTAACTGATACATTGTATTTACGCTTTACTTGAGTATAAGGCAGTAGAGGTTATTGTAAGGAATTCAAAGATTAAAACAACCCTCCAACTTGTTTTATACTAAAAACAACAGCAGTAGCATCTTTAATTTGCTGGAAAAATTAATATCTCTTTAAAAAGTGTGGACATAGGAGTCTGATTTCCTTCTGGGAGTAGTTTCCTATCATTTACTTTAAAATCTACAACTACTTAGAGAAATCCAAACTTTCATAAGAAGTTTTAATATTCTTCACTGTTGTGTAAGCCGCATCCCCCAGTCATCCAATGTCTGTCTAGTTTTCTAGATGAGCATTGTTGATCCCACCCTATTTGTACACATCCTACTACTAGAGGAATGTCCTTTGCCATACTGCATTCCTTCAAGCATCCTAGCAACCACAGACATGCCTCTAGAAACCCTTTGGAGAACGTGATGAAATGAAATTGAAATATCTAACTTTAGGCCAATAGAAATAGATAGCAAGAAAATTGTTATAAATGCCAATTGTCTTCTTGGTGTGTTTATACTTTTTAAGATATCTTGAGTATTTCTGGGGCTGGGAGAGGACTGGGTTCCAGGCATGTCTCATCTTGGTGCCAAATGCTGGTGTTTGTGAAATACACCTATCTCCCATGTCTACAACTGGATGGAAGAGATGCCCAGGAGGGAGTGACTCTTCCATGGCCAATCTCTGGCAACATCTGGCCCTGATTCCAATAGGACTTTTAGCACATTTAGGTTACTTCTCAGGTTCTAAGTGTTTATTCCCAGACGCTGGAGTCATGAATTGAAACTCAGTGAAGGTCTGTTAGTCCTGCTCAGTTAAATTTGATATTAAGAGATGTCTTTCAAAATTTTAGGGTGGCGGTGGTAATAACCACTGATGTCACGGTGGACTCCTCCTTTGTGAAAGCCGGCCTGGAGAGCAGAGTGGAGACAGAGGCAGGCCTGGAGTTCATCTCGACGGTGCAGTTTTCTCAGTACCCGTTCTTAGTTTGTATGCAGATGGATAGGTCTGAAGCTCCATTCAGGTAAGATGAGTACCCATGGCAGTTCCCAGAACCATCCCTAGTTCACCAGTTAACTGGCATTCAAGTTTTAGCACTCAGTATCATAATTAAAAGAAAACAGTAGTGACTATGTAAACTTTTTCTTTAAAGAAGTAAAAGAACAATTGATAAAACAAGGAAAACTCAGCATCTAGGACACCAACCAGCTCTAATGATTAGTTCATTTCACATAGAATTAAATCAAATTTAACCCAGAAATAACTTTTTAAGGAAACAAAGGGATCTGACTTACTATAGAGTTGCCACAGAGTTTGAGAAAAAAATACCAAATATACATTTGCTGTCCAAAAAATATGTTAGAGCCAGGTGTGGTGGCGCACGCCTTTAATCCCAGCACTTGGAAGGCAGAGGTGGGGGTATCTTTGTGAGTTTGAGGCCAGCCTTGTCTACATAGTGAGTTCCAGACCAGCTGGGGCTACAGGAAGACCCTGTCTCAAAAAGACCCATCCCCCAAAAAAGTGTTAGAAAGCTTAGTGCCTAAAAAATCAAATATACCATTGCCTACATAACTTCATAAGTTCTCTTCCATTCTAGAGTCTAACATGCATTAACAATGCACCCTCACACCTAGTAGCCTTCTTTGCAGAATGTACTATCCCACAGAGCTAGGATGATTTGAATTTAGGTAACACCAACTCCTCCTTAGGTCCCCTTGGCACACTGTGTAACCATAAGATAATTCGTACTCTTGAAATAGCAAATCACAATTTACATCATCTGTGTAATCAGGCCAAAGTTGAACAGTTTACTGGTATTTCAAAATCCATTTAAGAAATGCACCAATAATTCAAGTACAGTATGAGTGAGTTATATTTTCATGGAATAAATAATAATGGTTTACACTTAGAACATTAATTTGTGTCTGGAAATATTCCCCATAAATACATTTTTAAAAATCAGCCTGCTCGTGGTGAAAATGTAGTGACCACTAACCCAGCCACATGGCTAGCTGGTTTGGTTCACTATTTTACTTGGGCCACAGCCTGGAAATGTTTCTCTGTCAACATTCTCCTCTTAAATCCTGTTGGACTCACTACATTGAAGGGGAGTGGCCCCAAGGTGGGGCTTCTGGAATGAGGGTTGGAAGATATAGCAAAGCCTGTGAAGCTTAACAGCATCCCTGAAGAGATGAAAGGAATTCAGGCCTTCATTCCAAAAAAAAAAAAAAAAAAAGCATGTCAGGACTCCCATATTCCAGTCATTCACAATGTATCTACAGATATAAAAAGAAAATCGTGGGAGTGGAGCTACAGAATGGTCAGCCTCAACTCCTTTCTCTAATCACTTTAGGACAGAGCTTCAAGTACACGCTCAAAAATGTGTCTGGGACAGGTGTGGGTGGCTTCAAAATGTAACTCTGTCCTTGCTGCTCTTGTTATACAGGCAATCTGAGACCAAGTACGAAAGGCTGTCCACAGGCAGAGGCTATGTCTCTCGGAAAAGAAAAGAAAGACTGATCTCAGGATGTGAACTCCCTCTCCATCAGGAGAATTCTGAAATGTGCAACATGGTCTTCCCCCCACAACCAGAGAGTAACTCAGATGGATGGTTTTGAAGCTAATGGGTGATGTTTTCCTTGAATTCGTTTCCATGAGAGTGAAACACTTTTATATGCCTAAGTCCTTGCTGAGAGCACAGTGTTTACATATTTACCTGTATTTAAGAGTTTTGTAAAAAGCGATGGAAAACTTCAATTGAGCCTATTCAGGATGTACCCAGAGTGTCACTCAGTCACCATTCGACACTCGCAACAACATTCCTACTTTTTCTTGTACCTTGAAAAAGTCCCATGAGTACAGTGAAGCTGATTTGCTCTAAGAAGAAGCTAGTATTTGTTGAAAACAAAGACAAAAACCTAAAACCATAAACGCTCAGGTAAATCTTAATTTGATTCAGCAATTTTCAGCCAATGTGTATGAAGCCCTTGGCGGAACCTTAAACTTGCTTTCTATGTAGCATATTGCCTAACTGGGGCCAGAGGGAGGAACCAAGGAAGCAATTTTTCCCTTCTTTCCTTTTCTCTTTCCGTTTCATTTCATTTTTAATGTATGTTAGAAGGTTCAGAGAAAGGGTGGAGGCAAGACTCTTAAAAGAATTTTGTTAGTTAACGCCAAGAACCAATATTTATGCTTTCTGTTATAGCTAGTTTTATTACACATAGAGGTAGGAGACACATAAAATTAGGGATGCTGTACTGTATCATTTTTCTGCCGACCCTGCAGTGAGACTGCTTGGAAGACATTCAGCCTGAAATTTTTGGATTTAGTATAAGGGAATAAGAAAATTGAATTTTGTTCTGTTTATCTGACTTTCTCAAGCTATGTCTCTTTGAGTCTGCAACATGGTACACTGTTCTTCATAAGGGACATCCGTGTGTGGTCATCACTTTATTTCTGCCTCGCTTGTGTGGTGGTAAAAGCTCCAGCCTTTTCTGACTACAATTTGCTCAATATCCAATAAAGACTGCTTCAAAAAAACCAGTGGATTTTTATTTCAAAATGTGAAATTGAATTGGCTACCTTTATGAATTAAAAGTCTGTGCCAAACACTTAAACATATTTATTAATAAAACATGTGTTTATTGTAATAAACTTCCCATCAAATGTCAGTCAGGTTTTGTTTGTCCACTAAACACACATAAAGTGAAAGTTTGGCTGAAATTGAAAATAAACTGTGATGAAATAAATTCATGGAAATTTTATTGAGTTCCTTTTGTATTTTATTACTTTGAATCCATGGTTCTTTGATCCTACCCATTTCTGAACCCAGGGACACACAGAGCTAAGCCTCTGCTTCAAGCCGAGGAGGTAGAATCTCTAGATGGGCAGTCAGCTCTCTGTTGAAAATCCCCAGAGTGCAACCTTTTCAGGACCTGGCAACTTGAAAACAGCACACAACCCCCAGTTTTCAGTAACACTGGAGATTGACAGACTTGTTATCTCATTACCAAACAGGGAGAAAGGAGCCGGAAGCAGAAGGTGGGTGGGAATGTGGTAGGTGGTGGTGTTGGCTTCTAGGAGGCCCTGATGTTGCAGGTGGGCAGGTAAGATGGGGCACAAGCTGAAGATGTCTTGGGCTGAGGAACTATAGCCAACCCTGTCTAACAAGCCATAGGTTGCCTCTGTAGAATGCAGAAGGATTGGTTGCCTAGGGACGGATGGCAGTGGTGGCCTGAGCACAAGAGCATTGCCATGACCCATCTGCCAATCTGACTGGCTGAGCCTGTGTTGGCCACTCACTGGAGACCAGGTGGCACTTAGCATTGCCATGTTCCAAAGAGACAAGAATCCAGGGCCAGTTGAGACGGCTCTAGTAAAGGTGCCTGTTACCAAGGCTGACCACCCGAGATTTATCCCTGGGACCCACATAGTGGAGAGAACTGACTCCCCCAAATTATCTTCTGGCCTCCAGGTACCTGTAGATACACATAAATGAATATAATAATTAGAAACAAGAACCCAGATGCCTAGGGTAGATAGCAACTCATTTTTATTTTATTTTTTATTTTTTTATTTATTATTTTTATTTTATGTGTATCATGTAGGTAACTACATCCATGTTGTGCAATGCCCACGGAGGACAGAAGAGGCTGTCAGATGCCCTGGAACTGGAATTACAGACAGTTGTTAGCTGCCATGTGGGTGCTGGGATTCAAACTCAGGTCTTCTGCAAGAACAACCAGTGTTCTTAACTGCTGAGCCATCTCTCCAGTCCCGAGCAACTCATTTTTAGATGAACAAGATAGAAATGTAAGAGAAATGGGATATATTCCAGGGTTGAAAATTAGGTATTAGAGCCAGAAAAATAACTTTGAGCCTCATACAGTCCTCTAGTTCTGGCCATTTTAGTGCTTCAAAAGTGAGAAAGACTTTGTGTTGTGAAGATGCTTGGAAGCTGTGTGGTCCTCTAAGGTAGGTCTCCAGCCTCTGCCAGCCAGGGTCTGCCTACAAGCCTAGCTCCTTTTCAGTGACTTGTGACTGTCATTCCCTGCCCTGAGTTGCAGAAACGTCCATGACAAGTTGCTCCCTGCTTCATGGACTAACTACATTTGAAGTGCTCAGTAGACTTGTGTGATGAGTGGCTACTGTACTGAACAGTTCATCGATTGGGTAAAGTAAAGCACAGAAGACATTTTATCACCCAGAAAATGATAGAACTGGGATTCAGATAGAATGTCACCCTTGAGCTTGCTGTCTGACCCACTGTACTTTGTATATAGATCCTTTTCCTTTCAAAGGTTTGCTGCTAAAAGGATCCATGTGAGAAGATAAGATGGCAGCTTCAAAGCTTTGAGGCAGATTAGCAAGTTCTGGGATTCCTGCTATTTGTCTGTGGTTCCTGAGTCTTTCTCTGTGACTACACGGAAGCCTTCTCCTGCTTTCTCTGCCCCAGGCCTTTCTTTTTCTTTTTCCCTTTTCCTTTTGACAAGAGTCCCTTCTTTATAGTGCTTTGGGCCCAGAGGCAAGTTTGAATTTATAATAACAAATGTGCATTTCTTTTGGTAAGAACTTTATGGAATAGAATTTATACATAATTCATTCCCATTTCATATAGATTTCAGCATTTTAGCATATTCACAATGTTGTGTAACCATCATCATAATTTTGGAAAATTTCCACCAACCCATAAAGAAGTCTTTTACCCTTTTGCTATTAATGCCAATCTCTCAATCTCTTACCCTGGGAAATCACCAGCTTATTTATTCTGAACATTTCATACTCATGGAATAATATGTATTCTGTGGTCTTTGGTAACTGGCTTCTTTCACTCAACTTTATGCTTTTTATAGTAAAATAATATTCCAACATATAAATGTACCATGTTTGCCCATTCATCAGTAGGAGGACATTTGATTTGTTTCCACCTTTGAGTATTCTGAAAAATTCTGCTGTAAGCATTGTGTACACTTTTGTAGTGGTAATGTATTTTCATTTCTCTTGGATATAAACTTTGGGGAAGAATCATTATGTTAAATGTTAACTCTTATTTTTAACATTTTTAGTACTGCCAGATTATTTTCTAAAGTGACTGAACAGGTTCACATCCCTAACCACAATGCTCAAGAGTTTTAATATATCCACAAGAGCATCATAACTAGCTAGTATGTATCTTAGTGATTATGACCATCCTAGTGGGTACTAATCAGTATTTAATTTTTTTTTATTTATGTAAGTGTACCACGTGCATGCAATGCCCATGCAGGCTAGAAGAAGGTGTCAGATCCCTTGGAACTTGAGCTATGGGTGGTTGTTAGCCACCATGTTAGTGCTGGGAACTGAACCCAGGTCCTCTGCAAGAGCAACAAGTACTTTTAATTGCTGAGCCATCTCTTTAGCCCCTGATTTATATTTTCTTTTCTTTCTTTCTATTTATTTATTTATTTGGATTTTTGAGACAGGGTCTCCCTGTAGCTCCAGCTGACTTGGAATCCACTAGGCAGATCAGGCTAGCCTCAGTCTCACAAAGATCTGCATGTCTTTGCCTCTAGAGAGTTGAGATTAAAAGCATGCACCACTATGCCCAGCTGTTAATAGTTTTTAAAAACATACTATTTTTAATAAATAATAATTATTATTTTATAAAACTTTTTTATATTAGCATAAAAGGTGTTAGGTATAATTATGGCATTTTTGAACAAACTGTTTTAATAAATTATCCAACAGTTATAATTTTTGTGAAATCCAATTTATGTTTCCTTTTTGTGTGTGATTTAGTGACATATTTAAAACACCATTGTCAAATCCAAATTCACAAAGATTTATCTCTATGTTTTCTTTTGAGCTTTTTAGCTCTTAAATTTACTCATCTGATAAATATTCAGCTAATTTTTGTTTGTGGTATGTAGTTTGGGGCCCACATTTATTTCTTCATATCTGGATATCCAGTTGTCCCATTAAAAATCCAGAAAAAAAATTCTTTCTCTACTGAATTGTTTTGGCACTCTTGTGGAAAAACAATTGACTGTGAATAGGGAAGTTTGTCTATGATCTGACTGCTTATTCCACTAATGTCTGTATGTCATTACTGATCTGTCTTGCTGACTGCTGCTTTGTTGTAAGTTTGGTGATCAGAAGTATGAATCTGCATATCCTATTCTTTCCCAAGATTATTAGAGTTGTTCTGAGTCTCCTGAGTTTCCATACAAATTTTTCATCTGCTTGCCAATTTCTGTAAGTCAGCTGAGATTCTGGTAGGAACTGTGTTGACTCTATGTCAATTTGGGAAGTACTGCTCTCTTAATTATATTATCCTCTGATCAATTAAAAAAATGTGAGCCATCATTCCATTAACTGAAATATTTAATTTCCTTCAATGATGTTTGCTAATTTTTAGAGTATAAGACAATTGTGCTCCTTGGTTTATTCATTGCAAGTGTATAAGAAAAATAATTCATTTCTACATATTTATCATGCACATAGCTTGCCTGAACTTATTTACTAGTCTAATATCTTCTGGTTAGCTTTCTTAGAATTTTCCATCGGAAAAAATCACGTGATCTGTGAATAGCAATCATTTAAATTTTCCTTTTTTAATTTGGATGCTTTTTGCCTCATTTTGTTGTTAACTGACTTAAGTACAATCTTCATGTTGTGGTTTAGATCTTACATGCCCCTTAAAGCTCATCTGCTGAAGGCTGGTCTATAGTGCAGCAATGCCCAGAAGTGGGGTCTTTGGAAAGTGATTGGATCATTAGGTCCCTGACTTCATGAGCAGCTAGTCCATTTATGGGTTCATAACAAGCTACTTAGAGGTGAAAGAAACTTGAGGATGTGAAGTCTAGTGGGAAGATGCAGTTAGTAGGGGGATCTGCCCTTAAAAGTATATTTTTGTCTCCAGCCTCTCCAATCTCTCTCTGTCTCTGTCTCTCTGTCTTTGTTTCTTTCTGTCTCTCTGTCTCTCTCCCTCTGTCTCTCTCTCCCCCACTTCCCTCCTTCTAGACACTGTAAACTCAGAAGCTTTTTATTCTATCTACTACAGGCCTAAATGCAATGGAGCCAGCTGACAAGGAATAAAATTCATGAAACCATGAGCCAAAATAAATCTTTCTTCAAGTTAATTTTGTCATGTGGTTTGCCACCATGGTAGAAATCCTGTACATTCCAATGTAATGTTGAGTAAAGGTGATGAAAGAACACCGTGCTAGTGGGGACAGTAAGAAGCTGTTAATAGCTTCAGAGGAGGACAGAAGGCCAATATCAGATGGCACTCACTCTGGTTCCCTTTTTACTAAGTAAATACTTGAAAACTAATAATACCTGTAATGATAAACACATTGGAATAACATCAGGTCTCTCATGAGAAACCCCCAAAGTCAATAAACCATGGGATGATATACTTCAAGTCCTTAAAGTTAATCACTGCTAACCAAAATTGCTGTATCTAGCAAAGCTATCATCTAAAATTTATGGGGATAGGGGACATTTCAAGACAATCACAAACAAAGAAAGTTCATGACCATGAAGTCAGAAATGCACAGAATACTATACACAGATGAAAATAAAAGACTGTCTCAAAGAACACAGGAAATAATAAACTTCATGAGAGGAACAGATGAACAAAGGAGAACTAGGAAGAAATCTATCATGTCCAACACACAGTAAATCCCTAATACAAGGGAAACAGGGGAAGAAGAGAGGAACACATAGTAACCAAAGAATGGGGGGGACAAAAATTAGAAATTAATAAACCCCTCTCAGTAAATAAC